TGTGGGTTCTCCACGTCGCTGAAGTGACTTCTCGCCGCTCATCGACAAGGCTCGACGGGCTGCTAGTTCCCCATGTCTTTGAAGTGACCATCAATCACTCACATATCAACACGTATAAAGTAAAGGGTGACTCAGGCTCCAGCTCACCCCTCACCATCATCTTAAATCGCACACTCACGAAGTGTCTATTCTTCCCTTGGTATCCTCTACAAGTACAGACGTTATTCGCCATAAAACGAGGTTCGGATTTTCTTACAATAAAAAAGAAACTCTCTAAACAACACATTTTTCGGGAGAATACACCGTTTTTCCTTCACCCCACTCAAGTCCGCTAGCTGACTTGACCGTCGGAGGTACCACGGGGGAAACACGCCCCGTACTCCCACGATTCCTGTATGTGCAGGTGGTCCGTCCGCCCCGAGCTCTAAGAACCAGGCATAAAGTCGAAGTAGGAAGCGGCCCCCCTCGACGGTTCAACCCCTTGACGATTCAACAACTCTTCAACCTCCTCGACTGTGTGATATCAGACATCAACAAGCTCTTTCCGGTCGATGCGTGCGATAATGGACCCATATGATACGAACATTAGCACTGCACTTTCCTCTTCAAAGCTTAATCTGTTCGCATGCTCTAGAGGATAACAAAATATGCATCATCGATCTGACCATTGTTACCAATTTCCATGAACACGAGCAATACAAATAACCATATCACGACTTCGCTATATAACAAAAATTTAGTGTACTTGCTCACAAAAAAAAAATTCCACAGAATACAACCTAGCAAGTAATATTTACCCCTGTTATCACACAAAACAGAACGACATCTAAAAGGACTACTCGGCCCCAGCTCCATCAATACAGCCCGCGATCCCAGCTCTCCGGCCGGTAAAGCGCGGCGCAGCAGGATAAACAGTACGCCGCCTGCCGGAGGAGGATAACAGGACGCTGGCTCCGGCAGGAGCCCACGTGCAGGATAAGCCACGCCCGCCTCCGGCCGGTCGGTGGGAAAGCGTAGTATCGAGCTCTCCCGCCCCCGCGAGGGTTAACACGTCACCGGTTGACTTCCTGCTGACGTGGCCGCCGGATTAAATCCGGCCGTTTCCGGCCGGATAATGTTACCTCGAACCGTCGGCGGGGGTAGAAGTCCCCGGCCCTCGCGACGAGGACCACCGCGTTCGTCGCTACGTGGCGGCGGATAGTACTCAGTCGCGCGCCGACGACGGTCGCAGGTGCTGCCTGGACGTGGCGCGGGGTAGTACCAGTCGCGGCCGACGACGCGTCGCCAGGAACTGCTGACGCGGCGGAGGACAAACGGTGCGGACACTGAGAATCGCCGGCGCCCTGCTGACGCGGCGCGCGGGTAGTGGCCCGCAGCCGGGAACGCCCATCACCGGCGTCGAGCTGACGAGGAGGCGGAGGGCGATAGCCCCCGGCACGCGCCGGTAAACGTTCGCCCGCTCTCGGCTTCACGTTGAACGAGAACTAACGACGCCGTTGGGCTTCCCGGTCGGTCCCCTCGACCCCCCGGTAAGCCTGACGTGCGCGACGCGACCCGTCGCTCCCTCCCTCAACAGGTTCGGCGCACGGGGACGTTTGCACCCTCCGACGCCCTGTCGGGCAGCCAGAGCAGCGAGGTCCCCTGGGCCGACGACGTCGATGCAGGAGCTGCAGAATCGCGGTGACGGCTGAGGTCTGGGGTCGAGGCTCGAACCGGAACGACTCCGGCCACTCGGGCGTCCCCGCGCCGTCGGGGTCGCGCGTGCGCTTCTTCTGGCCGGCGATGGAGACGGCGGCGGAGAGGGAGGGCTTCTGGAAGAGGCTGAAGGATTTGACCCCCGAGCACGAGATCGATCGCAGATCAATCGAGGTCCGATCCATTTCTTTTCCTTTTCCTTTTCCTTTTCCTTTTTCTTTTCTAGTTTCTAGCGATCGAGAGCTCAAGTTCCGAATCGGAAAGAAAACGAGTTTCTGCGAGCTTGGCTTTGCTTCGGTCTTAAGCTAAAAAATCGACCGGTAGCCTAAACGTTGACGCCGATTGCGATCGACTTCGTCCAGTTATTGAGAAACGCGTGGTGTAGTTTCTTGTTCGTTTGCTCTTTCTGAGAAATTAAGGCCCTTGATCTCTTGAGCTTTCCATCTCCATTTCCTTGATGGGGATTCGTTCAAAGGAGCTGAGTCGTGAGTCTCGAGAGTCAACAACCACCCGGTTAAGTTTTTCAGTAAAAAACCCAAAATTAACCTTATAAAAACTCACGTTCAGGACACGTGACTTGTTTTTTTTTTAATGTTTATGCCTTGTCAGGATTAAGAATCACGTCACTTAGGTTTATTTTTGAGTTTTTAGTGAAAGCTTTACTCGAATATGGATAATTACAACAAAAACCGACTTTAAAAATAATTTATCTATAAATTTAAAATTAAAAAGCGGTTTCGATATAGTTATCACATTTTAAAGATGGTTTCTAGAAAGAAAAAAAACACCAGATATTAAAGATTTGGGGGACTAATATTGAGAGAGGAGTTTTTTTTTAACAAATTTTAAAACTTGAGCGGGGTAAATCTAAAAACTATGAGAAAGTGAGGGCTTATACGAAGAAATCTCTTAAACTTCCGCTTAAACTAATGGGGAACTTAAGTCTTCAGCCGAATACGCCTTCTTGTCACTATATTTGTGAGTGTAGAGGCTAGAGTACTGTTAGTGTCAGTTTTTAGGCTAGAGTGGTAAAACGGTGTCCGTTTTAAGGTAAATGTGGTATTTTGATCCTTTCAATTTGGATTTAGGAGGAATTAAAACAACTAGTTTCAGACCCGTCCGTTGCACGGATTTATTCATTTTTGAGATTATAAGTCTTTTCCAAATAGGAAAGTATATCAATTCCTTAAAAACTTTTATTAAAAAAAAGGAAAGTATAATGTTCATAATCATCAACAAAAGAAAAATAAGTCGAATTCGTCATCATATTTTATACCTTGTGTAAGGTGATGTTACCTAAACCTTATACATATTTCAGTTGTTACTGGTTAATTGTAAAACTATATTTCATTCATATAAGAAGGAATATATAGTATATGTATTTCATATCATCATAACAAATAGTCGAAAAATGCATCAAATTTAGCTTAATGTGTAATACGAGTTGTTTATTTAGGAAAGAGATTAATTAATGGAATAAATGAAACGTGTTCAATTTAAGAAATTCAGTTGTAAGGGGAGGATATTTTAGTATACAGTGTAGATAATATAGACGGTTATTGAGTAATTACCCATACATATTACCAATAATTTAACCATGGTTAAGTGATTTGGATGAAATACATAACAGAGGACCTAATTTCAACAAAGTTAAAGAATTTGGGGACTATTATCAATATATTAAGGGTTTCCCCCCTACAAACCACCTTTAAAATAGGGTAATTATACAATAACCACCTTTCAATTTCAATTTATATATAAACCACCTTTAAATTAGTGCTTTGTTGCAATCAAACACCACCCAATCAAATTTGTCACTAAAAACCCAAAGTTAGCCTTAAAAACTCACATTCAAGGTATGTGCCTCATTTTTTCAATGTTTAGCTCTTGTTAGGCTACAAATCGTGTCACTTGAATTAATTTGAAAATTTTAAACTTATTTTTGAGTTTTTAGTGAAATTTTTACTAAAAGATGGATAATTACAACAGAAACTCACTTTAAAGGTAATTTATATATAATTTAAAATTAAAAAGTGGTTTCGATATAATCATCCCATTTCAAAGATGTTTTCTAGGGGAAAAACCAGATATTAAAGATTCAGGTGGGGGACTAATATCGAAATAGCGCAAAAACTCCAACCGGCTGATATATACTATATATATATATATATATATATATATATATATATTATATATATATATATATATAATAGTATAATATGAATATAATATACTTATACTATATATATATATCTATAAGGAAAACCTTGCCGTACCCAAGTTTCTCTGTTGAACTTGATAGTGATGGTGGCCCAAATCAAGCACCCTACATTTCACTGCTCGCGAGAGAGAGCCCTCAATTACTATCACCTACTTTAAAATAAGAGGCCTCACTTTCCGAGGCATGCAGTAGCGGTCTAGATTTGGGCACCTCACATACCAAATTCAATTAAAAGAACTTTGGCGGTACCAAGCGTTCTCCATATATATTATATATTATAATATATATTATATATATTATATTATAGAGAGTCAGGAATCTTTCGTATGCGAAAAAAATTCGCCCACAGCTTAACGCGCGAAATCTAATTTAAACCGTCTGGATTTTTTTGCGGATTCATTTGCTCTCCGTTTGGATGCAAAAGCATCGTGACTCCCCAGCGCATTAGAATCCCAAAACCCTCCTGCCGTTCTCTCCTCCCTCTTTCTCCAACAATCGCCTCCTCCCTCTCCCTCTTCTCCGCTCGTGACCCTCCCTGTCCCAGGACCGGGCGAAGACCTCGTCGAAGACCCCACACACCCAAAGCCCAAACCCATCCTCCCTCTCTCCTCCCTCCCTTCTCCAACAAACCCTCCTCCCTCTCCCCCTTTCCTCGCTCGTGACCAGCCCGTCCAGGACCGCTCGAAGACCCCCCCCCCCCTCGTCCCACACACATCGACGCCGGCGACTTTCCACCACCGTCGAGAACCCTCCCGTCCCAGGACCAGATCCCTCTCTCAACGCAAACGAATGGCGCCTTTCCACCGCCGTCGAAGACCCTCCCTCCCCTTTTCTCGACACCGTCTCTCAACGCAAACGATCCCTCCCCCTTTCTCGCCGACGCAGGTAATAACCCAACCCCTCTTTTTTTTCTTTAAAATGATGAAATTATCCATGGGTGTTGGATTTCGATTGTTATAATGGGTGTTGGATTATTAAGCCAAGATTTTTGATGTGTTTTGTATGGCTAATTTATCTTGGGTGTTGGATTTCGATTGTTATGTTGCTCAGTTTGCTTGAATTTAGCTGTTTGAAGGATGGTTGTTGATCTGCGGTGCACGGATCTGGGTTAATTATGTAGGATTTATGGCTTTAGTGACATGAATGCAGATTTGGTTGATAAATTTAGACCACAAATCAAATATACGTTTGCATTGTAGTTAGGTTCAAACTATTTCAATTTGCCCTACTGATCATGTCCCGGACCAGCTCCTCAGTTTTTGTTGCAATGAAAGAACACTTGGAAATGATGTTCTAATTGATATTCCAGGATTTTTGACTCCTTTGCTCAAGTAATTTTAGCCAGCGAAGTTACAGGATAAGGTGCAAAAATCCCTCTAAAATTTTGATGTAAGTTAGTCTCCTAATATTCCTAATTTCATTCAGTTTTCTTCTTGTAGTGTTTAAAGAAATCAGGAGCTTATCTGCATGAAGCTAGAGCAATTTTGCAAGAATTTTGCAGAGAAGGCCATCCTTGTAATGGAACAATGATAAGGTAGCTTATCTGCATGAAGTTGATAATTACCTCGTTATGCATGTTTCTGTATTCCATGATCGATCAAAATTTTATTTTTACAATACTAAAAGTTCCATACGCTTCTAGGTACATGATAATGAGAAGGATTGCTCGGTATGTAAAAAGGCGGTCAGGGAGCTAATTAGGAGGTTGAAGCAGCCTAAAATGAGGGTAAAATATAACGCCTCAGACCTTTCTGCCTCATGCACTTGCAAAATGTTTGTGTTGATTGAAGAGGTGGATGAAAGACATCAAAGGTGGAATAAGTGGCGATCGTATGGAGTTGATTGAGGATGGCACTCAACAGTTTCGAGCACAAAGATATAGTCATTTGTGTCGCGTATAGCTGCAGCCAGGGCTTCAAAAACTATAGATTCTTATACATTCCTTGAAAGCCGATCACATGTATTGATAGATCAGGTGGAGAAATTATTGAACTGAGTAAAAAGATCTCTTTTCTGTGAACCATTTGATTGTACACTTTGCTTCATATTCAAATAAATACATGGTGTTTGAATGAAATTGTATCTCTTATGAAATGGATTATACCGTAAATTCCAATATTACATACATGACTCTAATAACAGCAAAAACATTGTATTTAACTAGAAATCTTGGGGATGAAATAGTTCATCCCAAGGGACAAGAGGAAACACCTTCACACTTATTTTAAACAGGAACAATGATGCAATTGATAATTACAAATTGACTAAAATTTTCATGGCTATCTCCTCTTCACACATTCCAATCATGGAGCACATCTCTGATGCTTTGAACTTGTCCAGCTTGTGCAAGATGACAGGACCTGGGACGGGAGGAGAGAGGGAGGGAGGGTCTTCGACGGCGGTGGAAAGGCGTCATTCGTTTGCGTTGAGAGAGGGATCTGGTCCTGGGACGGGAGGGTTCTCGACGGTGGTGGAAAGTCGCCGGCGTCGATGTGTGTGGGACGAGGGGGGGTCTTCGACGGTCCTGGGACGGGCTGGTCACGAGCGAGAAGGGGGAGAGGGAGGAGGGTTTGTTGGAGAGGGAGGGAGGAGAGAGGGAGGAGGGTTTGGGCCTTTGGGGTGTGGGGTCTTCGACGAGGTCTTCGCCGGTCCTGGGACGGGAGGGTCACGAGCGAGAAGAGGGAGAGGGAGGAGCGATTGTTGGAGAAAAGAGGGAGGAGAGAACCAGGAGGGTTTTGGGATTCTAAATGCCTGGGGAGTCACGATGCTTTTCATCCAACGGAGAGAAATGAACCCAAAAAATCCAACGGTTTAAAATTAGATTCTCGCACGTTAAACGTCCTGCCGAATAATTTTTTTTCCGCATTCGAAGCATTCCTCTACTACTATAATATATTATATAGCAGAGAGCCGAGAGAGAACCTATCCGAGAGAGCAGAGCAGAGAAAAATATGGGGCTATGCTTGGTAACCAAGCCACAAAAAAGTTCGTGCTGGTAGTGAGTTGTCACATCCTCCCTCCACTCATTTAAATTGGGGATCACATTCACATGGGTAAATGAGCCCTAGATGCAGGATGTGACACATCACTACCAAGCACGCAAATTTTTATGCTTACCGGTACCAAGCATACCCATATATATATATTATATATAAATATATATATATATCTATATATTATATATTCTTATATATTAGTATTTGATATCCCATTTTTTTTATCGAAGTAAAAAGACCTGGATCCGTCGAATCCGCCAGCAGGCATCAAAAGGATCAGCAGCACTGTTGACTTCCGAGAGAGCCAAAAGAGCGTCCCGTCTTCTCCACCAGAGAGGCGAGAAAAGCAATGGCGCAGGCTGAGACCCGTACACCCGAGAAAGATCTGCCCGGCCCCGCGGCTCGTCCCGCGCTTCGGCGTCCCAATCCGACATCGTCTCCCCTTTTCTTCGGCCGCCTCCCTTCTCGCCGTCACCGTCACCTGGGTCCTCTCAGGTTGGGTCCGATCTTCCTTCAGGCTGCACGCCGACTGCTTGTAAATTTTCCCCAAACACTGAAAACTAAAAATCAATCATTTCTAATTTATCAGGTTATTTCCGGAAGATACCGAGGACGGACAGGCTGCTCATGTGCTGGTGGGTGTTTACTGGCCTGACCCACGTTATCCTCGAGGGCTACTTCGCTTTCGTTCCGGACTTCTATGCGAGGACGCCCAATTATCTAGCCGAAGCTTGTGAGTTCTATTATTATTTTATTTAGATAGTTTGTGATTCTAGAAAAGGATAAATTTTCAAAACAGACTTTTTTGTCAAAAAAATTTCTAAAAACCAACTTGTTTCAAACTTAATTTCAAAAATCAACACAGTGGGGTTGAAACTGGGTCGGTTTTTTAAAAAAAAAGTTTTCAAACTTCACGGGAGTTGAAGTCCCGTGAAGTTTTGTTACTTAAAAAACTTCACGGGACTTTAACTCCCGTGAAGTTTGAGAATTTTTTTTTTCAAAAAACCGATCTAGTTTCAGCTAACTGGATCTGTTTTTTCAATTAAGCTTGAAACGGGTCTTTTTTTGAGATTAAGATTCAAAACAGGTTGGTTTTGAAATTTTATCCAGAAAACTCTAGCGGATTTTGTAAAAAAAAAACATGTAAACTAGAAATGTCTTCAATTATTTAGGAAAAGAACTAGATATATTAAGCATGGATGTACATAGAAAATAGAAGTATACAGTGTTCTTTAGAAACTCTGACGTGTCATGAAAAATCTAAGCATTTTAGAGAATTCCTCATCAGCCTGTAAATAGGCTCGAATGCAGGTTTTGTAATCAAGCCTTAACCAATTCATACACAGTCACTTCAAGTTCTTAGTCTCTTCTCATTTTCCATGCTGCTTCCTTAATTCATTCTCAATCCGACAAAAACTAAAATCAATTAGCCATCTAGCTTCCGCAACTCCGACATTTTATATTGAGTTCTTGATTATTATTCTTTTTTTGCTCTTTTCATAACG